TTGTATTCATTTGTATTCATCTGGCTGATAGTTTATAGTTTATCTGAATTTGTATTCATCTGAATTTGTATTCATTTAAATTCATATGTGATATGTATTGGTCTAACTGATAGTTTATAGTTTATACATATCTATTGGTCTAACTGATATGTTTTGGATTGAAATTTTCATGTGAATTGAAATTGACAATATGAACTATATTTAGATTGTTAATCTAAGAATAAATTTATGTGACCAAAAATAAAAAATAAAGACTAAACACCATATCAAAACATCACCTAATCATGTAAAAGTTTTTGTTTTTTTAAAGTTATAGAACATGGTATTCATAATACGAATTTAAAACGAAATGGACTTGATGTCCAACAACCTAACTTCCTTTATTGCTCTAAAAAATAAAATAAAGCCCAAAGTAATTGTTGCTCTAAACTGATAGCAGCTGATATGGGTTTCTATATTCATTTCCATATTTTTTTTATATGTTTGCTCTAAATTGATAGTATTTGTGTTTTCTATTTGGTTTCCTGTTTATTTATTTGTGTTTTTTTATATTTCTATATATTTCTATTTGGTTTCCTGTTTTTGGCTGGGCAAAAGAATAATTTCTCCTAGGTGATATTTTTATAAATTTAATTTTTTTTTTCTTTCCTTTTAAACAAAGCCCAAAGTAATTTTTGCTATCAAGTTGTTACTTTCTTTGTACCACTCTTTTTTTTTTCTTTTTTTTTATAAAAATTACATAAACTCCATACATATGATAAACTCCATACTTTCAGCTTGATATGCTTTTAAGGCAAACAAATTGAAGCAACTTTTTGTAACTTTGGAGAAACCCATCACAGCATTTTAGTTTTATTACAAAGCTGCAGAAACCAACCAACCCAACAGACTTTACATATTTTCCCTTGAATACTTAAAACTTTTATCAGATTTTAGAGTTTAGTATCAATGGTGAAGAATAGTATCAATGGTAGAGTCGAATTTAAATTCATATATTATAAAGGGAAGGTTGAAATTAAGGGAATAACACACTTGGGGGTGAGAGTGCACAAGAAAAATATATGAATTTCAAACAAGGGCATGTAGTATCAATGTGAAATTAAGGGAATAACACACTCTTCTTGAATAGTATCAATGGCGCACTCTGTCTATTCTATATTATAAAGGGAATAACACACTTGGGGGTGGTTTTCGGTTTAATTGCAATTCCACTCATCAGTATCGAGCGATTGAAAGATTTAATTGCTTCAAATTTAAATAACTGTTATTCACTCAAAAAAAAATTTAAATAACTGTCATGATTGATCTAATTGTTTCAGGCACATAGTGTGTGCCCACACTTCATGGAAATAAAAACTTCCCTCCAACATTTTTGGAAGGTAATTCCATCAAACAGTAGGTATGGTTGTTTTTCCACTAGTAATCAAGAAAGTATTCAAGCTATTTCTTAGTATTAGTGGTTAATTATACCCACAAACAGGGACACGTATCTTTACTGTAGAGTCAAAATTGGTCCCTTTTGCCTATTAAATTCCCAGAAGTTCTAACTTAACCCAAAGGTTTGCTTTGAATCAAATTGGTATAAAAAATAAAAAATTATTAAACTTACAAGTATTTAACTTAACCCAAAAAAATGTATTTAACAGATGTAATATATTTGTTGTGTGATTCTAAAAAGAAAAAGACTGTTTTTTTTTCATTTAATTTTTTTTTTTTGAATATCTAGAGTTCCTAATTAAAAGAAAAATTTGAAAGCCAGAGTGCATTTTAACATTTATGTGTAATATGGCAAGAGAGTTTATGATTTTTTTTTTTTTTGGCACCTTTTTAAGGGAGTATAATATTCTATGTTGTATATGGCAAGAGAGTTTCTGGTTAATGTATATGTGTGTGTATTACTTTAGTTGCCTTTATGAAATAATTATTCATTATTGCTTATAAAATGGTTTTGTTACATGGTGATTTTTTTTTTTTTTTTTTGTGCATAAATTTATGTTTCGACTTTCCATGGGTTTTGATTTTGGTTTTAATTTCATCTCTATAAAGGAAAGACAGTTAACAAAGAGAAAAGTTCGAATTTAGACAATTATATTGTGCTCTAATTTTAATTTATCATTTAAATGTGATTGTTAAAAAATATCTATTCTAAATGCTGGGTTGACTCAGAAAATGTGAGTTTGATTATGGGTTTCGCAAAGAATGTAGAGAGAGAGAGGGGGGGAAGAGACTGTTTGTTTGGAGCTATTTAAAAAGAAAGTAAGGGTGATTTATTTAGTTGACCTTCCTACAACAAAAAAATTAAATTGACACTCAAAAAAATTTATTTAACATTTTATTTGCTGTGTAATATATTTATTTAGTTGTACCATTCAAATGTAATATATATTTGCTGTGTGATTCTATTATACAGATGATAAATATTTTTCATTTAATTTTTTTGTGAATATCTAGAGTTCCTAATTAAAAGAAAAATTTGAAAGACTTGGCATTTTAACATTTATGTGTAATATGGCAAGAGAGTTTTTTTTTTTTTTTTTTTTTTTTTTTTGCACCTTTTTAAGGGAGTACAGTATTCTATGTTGTATTTCAAAAACTTCTGGTGAATATATATATATGTGTGTATTAATTTAGTGGTCTTCATGAAAAAAAAAAATGTATTAAACTTATAAGTTTTTAACTTAACGCAAGTATTATCCATTTTGCTTTGAATCAAATTCACCAAGTATTTAACTTAATCCAAAAAAATGTATTTAACATTTTGTTATAAAAAAATAAAAATAAAATTGTACCATTCAAATGTTTGTTGTGTGATTCTAAAAAGAAAATGACTGTTTTTTTCATTTAATTTTTGAAAAACTTGGCATTTTAACAATTATGTGTAATATGACAAGAGAGTTTATTATTTATTATTTTTATTTATTTATTTATTTTTGCACCTTTTTAAGGGAGTATAATATTCTATGTTGTATTTCAAAAATTCTGGTCATTGTATATGTGTGTATTACTTTAGTTGCTTCATGAAATAATTCATTATTGCTTATAAAATGGCTTTGTTATCTGGTGAATTTTTATTTATTTTTTTTGGCATAAATTTATGTTTGGACTTTCCAAGTCATATGATTATAATGGGTTTTGATTTTGGTTTTAATTTCATCTCTATAAAATTAAAGTCAATTAAGAAAGAGAAAAGTTCAAATTTGGACAATTATTGTGCTCCGGTTTTAATTTATCATTTTAATGTGATTGTTAAAAAACATATATTCTAAATGCTAGGTTGACTCAGAAAATGTGAGTTTGATTATGGGTTTCTCAAAGAATGTAGAGAGAGAGAGGTTATTTGGGACTTGGTTAGTGCTCTGTTATCAAAAAATGACACAAACTTCATAAATTTCAACATAATACGTATAAATTATAACTGCATTTTAATCTTAAAATTATTTACACCGTAACTTTAGGCACGAGCATACGCTAGTACCCTTATATGAGAAGTTTGTATATCATATACACCTATTATGTATTTTTATAATATATATTATGTATTTTCATAAAAAAATATTATGTAATTTTTTGATAGAATTACGACAATATGTGATTCAAAAATAAAATTACGCATTTTTGTAATAATGTTATACATTTTTGTAAAATTGTCACACAATTTTTTATGGAGAAATTATAAATCAGTTGTACTTTAAAAAAATAATTACATAGAATGGAAAAGTTAATGTACTTAATAATTAGAGTTTGTAAAAATTATTATTAATTTGATTTTTTTTTTTCAAATTATATACTGATATGTTATTGCCCCATTTTTATTCAAATACTTTCTAATAAGAAAATGTATAACATTACAAAAAAAAAATGCGTAACATTACCACTAAATATGTGTATAATTTCATTTTTGAATCACAAATTTTCGTAACTAAGCAAAACATATGTCATCTTCTAAAAATCTTACATAATACAAATGTATATAGCTAATTAATACAAAATAACGTCTTTTGTGATTCTAGTGATTCTAATGCATCATGTGAATCCTAAATAATAACCTACTAATTAGTTGTAACTCTTTGAATGACTCAAATGCAATGGTGGAAGTCAAAACGGATAAAAACAAGCAAAATAAGACAAAAAGTTGTGAAAGCTTGATAAATGGCTCGAGTTGTCTGAGGATGCGGTGAAATGTAAAATTGAGATCTTAAGAAAGTGCTTCTAGCTTTGAATGACCATTCAATGATAACTCAAGTAATCAATATACAAAACTAATTTTCTAATTCTTCAAATCTAAAATTTCAAATTCCAATCACTTTCAATCTTCAATACATCGAGATGCCATAAAATTCAGAATATTGGGTACAAAATCTAAAACCTAACCGCCTTTTTCATCAACCAAGGTCAAACCACAATGTATGATACACACATGCAAGCCAAAGTGTACTAATACACCATGAATCCAACATTGATCATCATCTTAAGGTCTAACATAAATAATTCTCAAAATCATAGACTAAGCATACATGTAAGAACTCCCCAAGGCATAATGGGTCAATTCTATCAAATTATTATGCAAATTTACATTCATTTCAAGAATACAATGGGGTGAGATGAAGATATATTGAATAAACTTTGTGAACTTTCCTAGAAATTGTGTATGAATTTTGTATCTTTAAACTCCATTACATTTTGTGTAGTAGGAACATATGTCCCAATCTCATGAAGTGTAGGTGTGAAGTGTTTACACCAAATGGAACTACATGGCCTAATTTGACCAAATTAGGCCTAATCTCAAACCATTCTTAATTAATCACATGTCAACCTTAATTAAACTTATATCAAGCTTATTTATTCATAATCTAGTCTCTTGTTTGTCTAGTGTTATTTATGAAGACAACAAAAAATACCGTAACTTGGGTAGGGCTAACCAACTAACGAAGTGGCAACTTGATAGTTAAAACTTTATAAAGATTGCATAATTTTGGGAACCTGATAGTAAAAACTTTACATTTCCAAGTGGGCAAAAGGAGCAAAAATGAAATTTAGAATGAATAAATTCTCAGAGACATGAAGCCACAACTTATGATCTAATAATATCCACAAGAAACAATACAACAAAACCAAAAACTCCAAAGATAGTTTATCTAACAAAAGAATCAATGAAACCACTGCTGCAAAACAAAAATATTATACCAGCTCTTGTTGCTCTCCGATCCATATCTACAAACACAAACACAAACACAACACAACTCTACACTACACTCCCCTCCCTCCCTCCCTAGTACGCTCCTCCCCACCAAAGCTGTTCCTGTACCGACAACGTGATATGTTTCTTATCATGATGCAAACCATGCCCCAATAAAAATATATTCAAGTGGCAGGTTGGTGGTCAACAATCCAAATCCGTTGCTCCTCTGGGTAAAACCATCTTTTTTAGTCACAATTCAACCCGCACACTTCGAGCACAGGACCATCTCTTGAAACAAATGGGTTGATTCGGACCCACAAAAGGGTTAATATTGAAGAAAGGAGAATTGACCAGACCAAAACAATTGTAGGCATCCTATCTTGTTTCCCAAGTAATCCTTTAAGGAAAGGATAAAGGTGCACAATGACCCATATAGCAAATAATAGCCTACCAAACAATGGGCCCCACGAATCATATCCGTTATTAATGGCGTTTGAGACACCAACGACCACCCCAACAATGTTTATAATCAGCAAAGTTGTGGGAGGGATTAGTAGTGATGTCCACTTGAAGAGATAAAGCTCAGAAAATTCCCCATCATCTCCTCCTTTGGAGGTAACAGTGAAGTTGGTGCTAACCCCAGCCAAAACCTTAAGTAGACCCTGGAAGAGAGCAAAGAAGTGTGACGAAACACCGCCAATCACCCAGAACTGCTCATTTCTCCACCAGTCGTCTATTCCAACACCTCCCCATTGCATTTCAAGGATACCAGTTGCAGCAATCGATATGAAGAGGGCCAAAAACACAACGCTCGCATAGTTGCTGATCTGTGTAATAAAGAAAAAAAATGAATGGACACCAAATGTTACCCAAATAAAAATAGAATAAAAATTTGAACTAGGGTGAAGGGTGAGGCATAACATCAGATTGGTAAATCTTATGCTGTCCAAAACTCATAGAATTGGTACAAGAGGATTAATTATGATGCCTAAAAATGGTACAACAGTGAAAAAGATAAGCAGCAGATTGATGAGATGAGCCTTTGCTTTACAAAAAGAAACACAAAAATATAGAGTATATGGTAGGTTGAGAATGCAATGCATCAATATTAGTTTAGTACCTCAGGGACAATGAATTTCCCAGTGAGAAGACAGATGGCTGGAAGGGTACAGTAAACTATCAAGGGAATGGAAGTCCAAGGATAGACGACTGAGTTAATATAGGAGAAGCGTTCCAACCATTTCAATCCGCCCCTATAGCCATACCAGATTGGACAGTGTCTGCTTAGGAAAATCTCAACAGATCCCAGGGCCCATCGAAGAACCTGGTTAAGACGATCTGAGAGGTTGATGGGAGCTGACCCCTTGAATGCAGGCCTCTTAGGCATACAATACACAGACCGCCAACCATGGCAGTGCATCTTGAATCCTGTTAGAATATCTTCCGTCACCGACCCATATATCCACCCAACCTGGTTCAGCATCGCGAAATTCAGTTATAGAATCATGTTTAAACAAAAAATAAAAATAACAATTCAATGCAATTGTGTGATCTTTTACCTCTTTTCCCCACTCTGTTTTGTCTTCATAACCACAGCTGATAACATGAATGGCTTCTTTCAAGAGTGCTGCTGAACCAGCATCCTGAGGTATACCGCCATCCTCCAGAAGTGTGGCAGCTATGAATACAGGAGATTGCCCAAATTTCTTCTCGAGTTTTACTTGGGAAATATGGGTTGAATTTTCCAAAGTTATTTCTGCAATGGAAACCCAATTCAGTTTCACTGGGTCCTCAAGCCTTTTGCTCTTTATTTTTTTTGGTCAAAAAAACATACCACTATGGCGCAATAGCAAGTTACGTAAAAATGAAACCATACCTTCATTTCCCTCTTCAATGGTTTCAAGTGCATGTATCTGCTTTGATGCATCCCTGTGCTTCATTTTCTTCTTCCTCTTATCCTTCTTTGACTTTCCTTTCTTATTCTTTCTGGACCCACAACATAGACAACACCACTTTGGCAAGCAGTTGCATGTTTTTCCAGGGGCCTTCTTCTTCACAGGAGCATCATATCCATAAAGTGCTAGCCTTCTGAAAACACACCCTGTTCCAACATATATCGGTCCTTGCAAACCATCTAACCCCTTCATGTTGATCTGTTTAAATCTGAAAATTTAGACTTTTACAGTAATAACAAAAGTAACACAAATTGAACTTGACAAGATGTACATACGTACATCAAAAAATACAACATTCCTGTTTGAGTATCTATCATGACGATCAATCCCATCAAATCTTTGTGGAAACTGCACGTAGCAAACTTTCTTTCCTGAAATGGGGTCCATCATGAAACACATGGCTTCTCTAAGTGCCTTGCTATTGTTAATGTAGTGATCACAGTCGACATTCAAAAGATAAGGAGCATTAGAGATAATTGCTGAAACCCGCACCTAAAGAAATCATCAAAAGAAACTCATTTAATCTGTGACCCATTTGCAGCTGATTTATTATTATTATTATTTAAAAAGAGAAGGAAAATAAACGACACGTGAAAAAAGAGGTTAGAGCTTTACCAAAGCGTTCATAGCCCCAGCTTTTTTATGATGGTCAAACCCTGGCCTTTTCTCACGAGAAACATAGACCAAACGTGGCAACTCATTTCCTTCGACATCACGAACACCATCACTACCAAGGAATACCTATAAAAAAAATTAATAATAATAAAAAAAAAAAATTGTGAAATGCTGACTACACATGCATAAGAGACAGCAAAAGTAGCAGTAGGTTATAATTTACAAGCCACTTGCTATAAAATTTTCCCAGATGACAGCATAAAACAAGAGAAACCTGATTGTGCATTAAAAACAAATTTCATACTAAAAAAGGCATTTTGAATCTTATCATTTGCCCATGTAATATTCCTGACTAATCCAAGCAATTGTGATGGGAAACTTGTTTGTACTTTTTTTTGTTGAAACCCGGAATCGGGCCCACTGTACCGACTTATCCGGGGGACTAATCCCACTGTCCACTAGCCCCAAGAAATTGTTTGCACCTAGTAACTTAATAATAGAATTCACATTCCTTGTCTTTGATTCCTAGCATCCAAACAGATAGATGGTCAAAGCGTTGAACTGCAATGGTGAAAAGTAGCAACAGTGGTGATAAAGAACTGACAAAGATGAGAGTGTAGTTAACAGATAGAATAGAATATTGTCTCACCTGAATCATGCCAGGATGGTCACGGACATTGTTCCCAGGCCATGGAGTTCCATCCTGCATTGTCCAACCTTCCTCGGGAACTTTTTGTGCCATGGAAACCAATGCATTTATCCGAACTTTAAATTCTTCATATTCTCTCTGCAACCACAACAAAATATGATCTCACAACATTATGGATGCCTAACACAAATTGGATGCTCAAGAAATCCATGCATCTGATTTGAGAACAAAATTAATAGTCTTCAATACAATTGCAACAGGATTAGTTGCGCTTGCATAGAACAACCAATATAATCACCTGTACAGCGTATATTCTAAAGAAGAATCACAAACCTTAATTGCACGCCGTTCCCTCACGAATGCTGGATGAACTTTGTTTTTCAAGTAGTCAATCTTCTGAGAAAAATACCATTCTGGTGCCCGAGGCTCAATTTTAAATTTTTTGCAAAAGGGAACCCATTTCCTAGAAAATTCAGATGTCTCAGAAAGTGCTTCAAAAGTAAGCATGGCAGCACCATCATCTGAGACATAGCATGCAACTTTCTCAATCGGATAATCCACTGCAAGGATGGATAGAACGGTGTTTGCTGTGATTAGTGGAGGTTCTTTCAGAGGATCAACTGTGCTTACGAAGATGTCTATATCAGCTAATTCAGATGCCTTCCCTTCTTTTTCATACCTGAACAGTGTGGATCAAATAATGAGCCAACATGCAAAATCTTGTTCCAATCATGCAAAATCAAGGCAAGTCAGCTTGAGGACATAGCAAAAGTGGATTGGCTCACAACAAGAGAGATAGAGTGATTTAATTAATTTTATAGTTTTAATAAAATGCATTTTCCTGTTTCTCAAACTTGTGCACGATTGAACCCATCGGATCAACACTAAAATACTATGATGAATGACATTAAATGACTTTAGACCATATACCTAAGTGATAGCCGATCAAGGTACGTTTCTCGCTCTATTGGGGACCACTTTGGGAATTGATCCAGAATCCATGATACCGCAAACCATATTTCACATATAACAGATGTCAACCACAGGGCATACGCATCATGAACTGGATGGAGAATTCTATAATGAAAAAAGAAGCCAAGAATTACAAGACGGAGTAAAATTATCAATCTGTACGGGCTTATCTTGCTTGAAGAAATGGGCAACTTCCTTGACAGTGGCTGCCTGCCTTCATCCATCCTGATAAGAGTACATTAATAAGCTTGTAAGTGACAAATGGATCATAGGTGAGACAATGTACAGAAACAAGTAATCATAATATGACCATTCATTTTAAAGTTTGCTTCACATGAACTTGTAGCGATTAGAATATTGCAATAACAAAGGACTCCATGACATGAAGTTCAACCAACCCCAAGATCAATGCCAAAGCAAACCTCATGCACATGGAGATCCACCATTCGAAGATTACAACCCCCAATTTCTGCATCAGCCATGTTGAAAAGCCTATTCCTAGGTACCTCCAATGTTTTGAAAACAGGATTGTTGAGTCAACCGGTAAAAGGAACAGGTCAAGGGTCCAACAGTTGAGTCAACCAAAATCAAACTGTGACATCATAATTTTGTCATGAATAAATTTAAATATATATAAACAAAAATATAAGTACTAAAATAACTAGCAAAAATACCTCGAAAATCAATTTTTCTTTATTTATTTTAGAAAAACTACTATTTTTTTTTTATAAAATATATATTAGAAATTACATCCTACCATCTCTTGGGATATCATTGGCTTAGTTTAATAAGTTTTGATACATAACAACAAAATACGCAAATAACTCCCTGGATAAGCATTTTGGTTGCATTACATTGACTAAGTACAAAATGGTTTAGTCCAAAAAGTGATCTATCATTTAAAAAAAAGAGTCAAATGTGTTCTGCTTGCACATCCGAAGGCATGCTATCAGGTGTGAAGCCTTAATTTCAGCTAGGCTTTAGCTCAGCCAGTTGTGGCAGACAGGAACCAGTTTCCACAGGTTCCAAATTTTGCCAGTTTTGACCGGTTTTTAGTTTCAAATGGTTATAGGGGCGTACTCAGATTGGAACTATAGGACCGGTCAACAGTTCAACCAGTTGAACTGACTGGTCCAATCCGGTTTTTAAAACATTGATTACCTAGGCATTTGTCAGGGATTATGCAAAAGGAACTAGCAAGGTGACAACAACACAAGGCATGCACCAAATGTTTAAGTCGACGAGCCAGCTACCAAAGCATACTAGACTATAGCAGTTGCAAGTTTAGGGCTTGTTTGGTTTTGTTTTCATTTTCTTTGTTTTTTGTTTTTTTCTATTTCCATAAATAAATCAATGAGAAGTTTTACAACACAAAAAATAGTTCACCTAACAAGTTTTTTGCATTTCCAAAAAAAAGAAAAGGGAAAACAGAAAAAGGCCTGATATTATCTCATTTTGAAAACAGAAAACAAAAGGCCTAGTATGTTTCATTTTTCAATTCCTATTGGAGATTAGTATTCTCATAAGATAAGGCATAGGCATGTGATTCTTTGTCTTTCTTTTTCTCTTTTGTTTTTTATTTTATTTTTTTTGTTGGTTCCATTACCATGTGTCCACTTTCTTCAACCGATGATTTAGGGACAATACAAAATCAACAGGATGTGAACATAAACATATACTTCCCATTTAATTTTAGGAAATAATGAATTCTCCCTCATGAACCTCTATTCTTTAACACAAAGTTAAGGGCAAGAAGGGATGCCAAACTAGTGTTTCAGAACTTTGTTGCTAACAATCCAAGCCAAAGAAAAAGTCCAAGAGTCATGGTATAAGATAAGAAGTCATAAGTGATCTCATAAAACCTCAATTGCACACAACCAATTTTTGCAAGGTGGTTTACTTGTAATATCCAGAGTTTGTTGCTTAAGCGCAGCTAGGTGCTTTGATAAACATTTGATCAACAGCTACAATTCACACGTTATGTTTATTTGTGAAGGACTCTTAACATATTTTCTTAGAACTGAACATGTTTAACAGGACATGGCATGCAATTGTTTCTTCTAAGTGATTCTTACAATCCTCTATTTTGCTGAAAATGTATTGTTCACATTAAATATTTTGAGTTTCTCTCTTCCGGGAAATTCTAATATACATCTCTTTAAAAAGGGTATACCATATGCACCTCTAGTTATGCTATTTTTTTCTTTAGTTGTGACCAATTTTCTTCTTTAGTTATGACCAATTTTCTTCTTAAGTTATAACATTATTTTAGTTATGACTCATGAGTTTTTTAACTATGCCTCATGTTGTATTTAGTTATGACATTTTTTCTTTTTTTTAGTTATGAGTCAGAAAATTGAAGTTATGCCATTTTTATTTCTAATTATAGGGTGCATATGAGGGTGTGCACCATAGTGTTTCCCCTCTTTGTCATTAAAAAAAAAATAAAAAGTTATACAACAAGAAACTAATTAACATAGAAACTAGAAAAATGATACGTCGTAGCTTACATAGGCAAGTCAACATCATCTAGTTCCCCGTCAAGGTCCCAACCACTACTACTTCCTTGATGATTGGCCACCTGAAGATTATCACCCTGCCTTTTCTTCCACTCCTCCATTCGTTCCTTCCATGCCACACTCCCATAGCCATATAGAGCTATGTCCTTTTCTGGAACCATTGATCTGGGTTGTGCTAAGACATTGAAAACACAAATTTCACAATCTAAAATAAAATCTGTTCCAAGCATCTATAAACATAATTTGACAAAGTAAAATAACATACAAGACACGGATGGAGCAGGAGAAGGGACCGAATGGCTTCTATTTCCAGGACCCATAAACGAGGGAAAAACAAGAGCATGTTGATTAGAAGAAATATCCGAATCCTACAAGAAGAACAATAAGCATTACAACCAGTTGCTAGTATACTTAATTGTGCATGTGCATATGCATGTGCACATGCACATGTACACACATACTCATGTGCGCGTGTGCGCACACACACACACACGGAGAAATTGCAATGCTATTTTATTCACCTCTTCATCATAGGTCAAGCGAGGAATTTCAGGAGGACAAGAAGAACCAAGTTCTGAGGGTGTGCGTGTGGCTGTTTCAGATGTATTAGTGTGGGCACAATATGCAGTGTTAAAATGTGCAGAGACCATTTCCCCAAACAGTTCTTGTGGGCTGCAAGCCTCAAGGTTTGCAAAATCAAACTCGTGCTCCAAATCATCAATGTCATCCTCCTCCTCATCACCCTCAACCCTAGGACTACCTGCAATTTTCATTTAGTTGTAAATGTCAATTCACAAAAATCAAGTCAGGTTTCCAATGAAGATGACACAGGAAATAGCAGTAATAGTCTCACCTTTGATGCGCTTGTATCTTGTTTTACACTGAGGACAAGCCTGGTTTCCCTCTCTTCTCTCATACTCATAGCAAGGTCTGCAAACAGGGAAAGCACATTCGTTGCAGGCAACAAAGGGCTCTCCATCTACATTAATCTCTACCTCATCCCCACAAATTTGACATTCTTGCCCACCCAATTCTTGAACAGATTGAATCTGGAAAAACACAGAAAACCATGATTATACTGCTATCAGTACCAGATGAAAAAAGTTGAGAACAAATTACAAAAACAAAAACAGAAATTATACAATTTCATTTTGCTACAAAAGTGTTTTGTTTACTAAGTTCGTTTGGGGATAAGGTTTATGAGATTGAACTTGTAATTTCAAACTGATTACAAATGAAAACTAGTGATTATTGCAACTTTCAAGTTTTGAAATTCTTTATAGGTTTGATTAATCACAACTAACATTTCAACATTAGTAGATTTTCTTTCAATTTTTATAAACTCAAAGCTCTTCAAATTGCAAATCTTTTTTTTTTTTGTTTGTTTTGTCTCTCCAATTTTCTGCTTCGTGTGCTCCAGATCTACTCAGTATTAAAATAGGGAACCCATTAAAATATAGTGAATCCTAAAAACAAATAAGTTATAATATTTCAGTACACCAATTTATAAGAGAGGTCATACAAATTAATCCGGAAATTGGATTCTTGTACATCTTCTTATGATATCAAATTTAGAAATGCAAACGACTGCCTCCATCTACAAATGCAAAAGTTCAGCAGTAGCACTTCATACATACACATATTCAAGCACACACAAAACAAAAACCAAAACGAAACAAAACAAAACAAAATTGACAGGCCAAAACGCCCATAAGATCAAAATAAACCTTGTGCATAGGTTATCAAAAATTAAAATTAAAATTAGAATTTTCATACACCAGTTTTTCCAGTGACAGTGTCTGTATTTTGCTGAATTAGGAATGATGTGTTAAAAAAAATAAAAAATAAATAAAAAATAATCCAATCTAACAATAAAGCAAAAAACCAGGAAAAGAATTCTTCAGTTTTGGATCACAAAAGATGCAAATTATAGCATCCCACATATCAATTGAAAAACCCTAATCAGTAGAAGACTGAGCAATCCGAATCCTGAAACCGAATGGCAGATCATATGTATATATAGACACAAAAGCATGAGAAGAATCAAAATGAAGGGTTTTGAAGGGTCTCTTACCTGCTGTCCAATCTCATCAGCATTGATGATCACAAACTCCTTCCTAATGTGAGACCCAGCAAAAAGTCTTCCTCCTCCAGTGTCCGCCATGACCACAACACCAACACTAACACCAACAAAACCCAAGTGGTGAAATCAACAAATCCAACAGAAAATCCAACTTCCAATGTGACCAACCACCTCCCCCTCTAATAATCTCTCAAAAGAACCACCTTTGTCCTGAAAAATCCTGTTTTTTTTAGGCCATTCTGTTCTGTTTATCGTCCCATCCCAAGATACCCAAACCCAACCTCACATAGAAAATAAATAAATAAATAAAAATGGATGAATAATAATTATGGGACCTAAAAGTGCAATGTAGATTAATTTCTTCACAAGCTAATTCTGCTCTGTAATCTGGCTAGCTGGGTTCGATCTGTGTGTGTGGTGAGAGAGAGAGAGAGAGAGAGAGAGGAGAGAGAGATTGAAGAAGGTGACCAAATTACAGAAGAAGGTGGAGGGAGGAGAAGGAGGAATGCATGGGTCCCAGTATGAAGTGGTGGAGTCCCCACCGCAGTTAGCGAGAGAGAGAGAGAGAGTAATGGGTACGTGAGGGATGAGCGAAACTTTGCCTGTCTTCTATTTATATGATATATTATATGATATGATCTAATCTAATCTAATCTCTTCTGCTGCTGCTGTTTTTTTTTTTTTTTTTGTTGTTGTTTTGTGCCTCAACTCTCTGTCTCTCTCTTTCTCTACAGCTAGCAGAGTAAGCAGAGGCTTTGGAGAGAGAAAAATGGAAAGTAATAAGTTGATCATAAAAACGCCAACACAGAGTACGGAGGAGAGAGAGAGAGAGTAGAATGTACGTGATGCAATGACACGATCTTCTCCGCGTGAGCAGATCCTACTTCGTAGGTTTTACGAGATTTATCGAGAGATGTACACGTAACACGATCATTTTTTTTTTTTTTTTTTTTTTGGTTTAACTCGGACTCAATAGGTGCCGTTCTTTTTTTAATCAATAATGATTCATCCCTCATTTTCCCCTCACCCCCCTCTCTCTCTCATTGGTTTCATTGGTTACATTTTTTTTTTTTTTTTTTTACTCCTCCAATCATCACCCGCCACGTGACAAAGGGGGGTGAGGGGTGACTCCCAAAAGGGAGTCTCAAGCATTATTCTTTTATATATATATATATATTAATGCATGCCCGTACTTAAAGATAAGATATAAATAATATTGTAATTAAAATATAATTATAATTTATATATATCATGTTAAAATTTATAAAGTTTATAGTATTTATTGTGAAAATCTGAATATAAAAATTAAGTAAATAATTAAATAATAATAATATTATAATTTCAAATATTTTGGTGGTGAATCTTAAAGTGCAAATTAAATATTTGGAAGATCTTTTAATTAATTTTAAAACCTAAAATAAATTTATGGTGGAAGGTCTTTTAATTAATTTTAAAACCTAAAATAAATTTAGAGTGAAAGTCTTTAATTAAGAGGCAAGATTTATTATTAAAAAATATATAGAGTGAGAGGCAAGATTTATTATTAAAAAATATATAGAGAGAGAAGGGTGTGACTTGAACTCTAGACCATAAGATTAATAAATAAGACTCTTACCATTTGAATTGCATACAACTTATATATATGTTTTTATATTTATCTATTTATTTGACCTACACATGTTTTAGGTGTACCCAACCATTAGTATAAAATAAAAAAAAAAACAAAAGAAAAACCATAACTCTCTTATTATTTTCAAAACACAACGCAGCCACTTTAGATTTCTTAGCAGCCGTAAGTCATTGCGAGGGAGAGAGAGAGAGAAATTTCTAGCATCTTGTGGTTCTAGAACTTTAAGGTATTGTTCTTCTATAATATATTATATCTATGATTATTGTGTATAGATGTTTCGGTGTATTGATTGGAAGAAAAAGGAATGAATTGGGTGATTCTCTTAGTATTCTGTGTATATTATTATCATACAAAATTTTAAAGCGAATTAGGGAGCTAAAGTCGTTAGATAAGAATTCTGCACAGAATAACAAACTTTAAAAATCAAGAAATCATATCAAACGAATGAATTTTGAACTAAAATTTTTACAGTAGATTAATTACATATTGAATTGCATATCTGAATTTTTTCATAATTTTTGGGAGTCAAAATCCATATAAACTGATGCATTCAAATCTGTCCAGAAAACTGGTTTTAAACTGTAAATTCGAGAGTGTTGTTCTCTTTGGGTATAAATTCAAAAATTATCAAATCAGTGTCATTAGAACCGGTTACGAGACTAGTTTCTTACATTTTTTGCCTTACATTGATTGCTCGTGTATATTAAGAGAACCGTCAATTCTTTTAAAGTGCTGTAGAAAACAACCTGATTGGATATAATAAATTGTAGATAATTATTTTGATAAGCAAATCAAGTGAAACCAATTGGGTTTGAAACTTAGGATCTATTAGTTGATATCTTGAGGTTTTTGAAATTTTTCGAATAGCGTGGAGTAAGTTTTGTAATTTTCAAAGTTAGCGAATAGATTGGAAAAACTTGTTTAAAACGCCGTTTTATCTTAAAGTTATTTTTAGTTAAGTTTTGATCGGAACCCATGTCTTGGGTGATTTTAGACCTTGAAGAACATGAATATAGGTAATATTTAAGAGTAACGGTGAGTTGGGTTAAGCCGTGTTAGTGCGCTTTAGTTTGGGGTTACTTAGTTTATTATTCCTTTTAGTATGTTTGAATTAATGGTGACGTGTAGTTTTAATACTTTGTTCAGGGCACTAGTTGGACTTTCATACTTTACTTGAGGATTATATTATTTCGTTTTCAGGTGAGTAGTTTCATGCTACATATTTTTATAAATGTTTCCCTACCTTGAACTGTTGGAAAATTAAATTGTTGTTTCATAACTAAACTGTTTTGATAAATTATTATATTATCAATAGAATTAAATTATTTCTGAAACATGTGTGAACTTGGTATACTGTAAACTTTTTGTTTTGGCCCCATGTTTATAATGATGAACTACTATGTCTTGCGAAACTGAGGTGTATTGATTATTGAGACCATATATGTATTTAGTCCAGGGAAGTTATTCCACTGTATGTGGTGACTCTGGCCACTAGGGAACAGATCCGGGTTGGGCCGTGATGTCTCTAGTGCTCAACGATTGTAAGGAAAAGACCTTAAAAAAAAGGTAGGTGACCTTCAATCGGATCATCTTAGAGAAAAGGTCCAGGTTGCCATCCTGAGAATAACTCTTAGTTCGGTATTGGATCCAACGGGGCTTATAACCTTGAGAACTGTGTGGCATATTATTTGTTTTTCTTGGTACCCAGAAAATTATTGGTGTTCATGTTGTAATCTGTTTTAAGTGAAAAATGTCATTTATCATGTTCTTGCGAGACATGAGTAGTTTAACTACTGAACTGTGGAACCTTCTTTTTGAAACAGATTGTATTTACCAAACTATAGGCCAATCTACTTTCTGTGATATATATCTTATTTTGGAATTTATCCCTGTTTTCAAAACTGTATTTACTATCCATGTTGCTACTCACTGAGCTATCAGCTGTCTTAGTTTTTTTATCACTTCCAGGTGTTAGAAGGATTTAGAGTGGATTTATGGCATAGCAGGGACTCAATTGCATGGACCTCTAGGACATTCATTTATTTTGTTTTAGATTGTCATGTCCAGTTTGTGCATATTTCTTTTTATTTTTATTGAGATTCGTTTAGGATTATTTTGATATGTGGGCTGTTTATACCCCATAAGTTTGGATGGTTTTGATTACGGTTGATTTTGCCGTTTATAGTTATGGCATGTCACTGGATTGAGTTTTGGTTATTTATTACTGGACTATTGTATAGTTATTCAATGTATTTATGAATTCGTGTTTAGGCTTACGTGTGCCTTGGGCTAAGGCCCTGTGGGCCACGGCCGGTCATACCCGGATTTGGGGTGTGACATTTATTGATAAAAATATTGAAAAAATATAAAGAAATACTATTTTTCTTAAAGAACTTGTAATAATTTTACTTGTATCACACGCTCTATAGGACTCAAATAAAATAACAACTCCCCTAACTTTAATGCAAATTAAGAAACAAACATATAAAATTTAAAATGCTGAAAATATAAGAGCAAGCCAAAAAAAATTATTAACACTAAACAAAATATACAAATCAAAACTATTGTATACTTGCTAACATTCAATAAAAAAAAAATTTACTGGACACCAAATAAAACACACCCGCAAGTGCTCTGCAATCTTAATAAACTAATGTATGCCCGTGCCTGAAGGCACGGTGTAAATAGTATTTTTTTGAATAATTTTCATTTATCATTCTCTCTTAAGCTAGGAACATTGACAATTAAATATACTTAAAATTCTGTTTACCCATGACACACAAAATGAATAGATAGCATGCATTTGAGCAAAAGGATCCCCTTTATTATAGATACAACTTCAAAATAAGACGAATAACAAAATGGTGTTCTCCCTTTGGAGCACCCCATGCCAATACGAAAATGGTGTTCTTGATCAAAATCAAAATAGCAGACCCCTGCAAATGTCTACCTCTCAAACCAAATCTATATAAGTTTACACAACGTCAATCTGCCTCTAAATAATCTTTAACTTTATACAATGTCAATCATTTTCAAAATTTGGCAATGAAAGTCATTAATTACATCAACTACGACAACTTTAAAATTGAAATTGTTGCATTAAAAAATAACTAAAGTAAAATGCCTTTAAAGTGGTCCAATAGTCGTTTTAGTAGCAATATATGAAATAAATAAAAAAATCAAATCAAATCAAACGGATTAAAGGATGTTATTTAGAGAAAAAAAAAGTTTAATATGAATTGCTAGCATATCACTCATGCCTAAAAGCACTCTCGTATAAACAGCTTAAATGGCTGAATCTTTTCTCTATAAAAAATAAAAAATAAAAGATAAATCATATGACATGGAAGCTTGAAGAAATTACCTTGATTGGAGAGTTCAAGGGTGCCATTGGTTTGTTTCCTTCTATCAATGAACAACCCCAGACTTTTTCAAAAGCTTCTTCATCTCATCCAATTCCTATAGATTCATATCCAACCAACAGTGGTAGAGTATTTAGCATGAATAAGGAAGAAGATTAAAACAACAAAATTACTTCAAGAACATGACATATTTCAAAAAGTTATTTAGGAACATAAAGTCTAAATAGGAGTATTTAGAAACATAACATATTGTCATAGTACACATTAAAAGTAGAAAATTTAAAATTTACTTGGCAAAAGTGTCATCCTTAAAAAATATATAAAAACAACGCCCAAATAGTACACATTAAAATCCATTTAAACTATTAAGATAACCGTGGAATATAAAATTTTATAAAATTCATGTGAGTTTACCACTTTGGATGTTATTTAGGATAACCCTCTATCACTTTCTTCAATCTTCACCTACACCTATTCATATTCATTTCGCTTCCAATACATGACCATAAGCAAAATATCAAACCAACCCCTTTGGATCCATTTGGTTAGCTCATGGGCAGCAACCAACCCCCTGCCACAACAAAACAAAATTTAGATTGAAACTAAATAAACTATAGGACTAAACTGATATAATAAAATTTATTTTTGCCCTGACCAATCATTTTCAAAATTTGGCAATGATAAAACCAAAAATAGTATAAATTTTGTCCTCAAACTCCTAGCTTTGCACCAATATAAATTTTTTGATAGCTAAAAGAAGTATTAGTATATTCAGAAAATGTATTAGTATATTCACAAATTACTTTCACAAAGTTTTAAATTTACACTTGAA